TATTTGAAAAAGCTTAATGGAAGTCACACATTTACCCTCTAAAACGTCATTAGATTTCTTTGCTAGAACACTATCAAATCAAAGTGATAACCCCAGATTGTCTCATGTTGATCAGGAATTCTAATTGTCACTTACAAACTGTTGATGAATGAAAACATGAAACTGAATTATTTAATAAGTTCACTCTGTGAGTAGGAAAAAATCCTTTCAAAACATGAAGTACCAGAGGGGAAAAATATTTTTAGGGTTGGAACTGCCTGAACAGTCACTGGTCTGTTACATCAAAGGAATTTAACCCACCTGTGTGTGCACTTTATAAGACCAAATCTAAAGCTAAAATTTTAGATTTGTTTTACATTAGCAATATCCTCTCTCCCACCCCCAATACTCAGTCTTGGATAGACTTTACATAAAATCCACCCATATTATAAAACATTGACTCTGAATCCCCTGAAAGAGTAAGAGATGCACAGAAGATAGAGTTGAATGTATTAGTTAACAAGAGGACGTCATCTTGGTTGAAGGAACTAGTGTGATGTAATAGAAAGTTTGCCCAAGGTTTTTATTTTTGTATATATCATTTGAAACAAAAAGTAGTTTTTTTCAGTGAACAATTATAATGTATGCATGCTGTGGATTGCATTGTGTAGGCAAGAAGAATAAAGTTTAGGAAATAATGCCCCAGGCACATTAAGGAAAAACAGGCAAGTTATAGGTAATATGTATAATAGAATCCCATTTGACTAAAAAGAAAATAGGTTAAATAGGTATATTGTGGTATACATATTGACAGATATGTTCATATATGCATAAGCAAGTCTTGAAGGATACACACCAATTTAACTATTGCTCCTTCTGGAAAGTAGGGTTGAAGAGAGAGAATTTTTATTTTATGTATAAACTTCAGTACCATTTGAATTTTAAAGGATTTATCACATTTGTAATTAAACCAAACCCAAAACACCCACTTAATTTTTAAAAAGTAGTGGAAATAATGACCTCAGCTACCACATTCTTCTCAAGGACTGGAAAAGCTGATAGAACAGGTGATTCAGGTGTGCAGAGAGGCGCAAGTGCTGGCAACTCACGTCATTTGTTAGTAGGAATTGAGTCGAGCATAGATGTGCTAACAGTGATCATAGGGATGTGCTCTGCTTTCAGTGAACTATGGATGTGTCTCACGCCTCTCTGGAAACTGGGCAGAGAAACCCATGCTGGATGTGTAAAAGTTGATGCGGCAAGAGGGTGTTCATTTTCTCCATTATCCCCTCTGGTATTGCCAAGGAGACTGCATCAGAGTCACATCCCTCTGATTTCACCCTATCATATTTGGCTCCTTGGTCATAGTTATATCCCCAGCATTCTATTCTGCTACCTCTTCTCTACCCACTGTTACAGCCTCCCCCGGCCCTCCCAACTGTATCCTCCCTCAGGCCTTATCTCTGCATTTCCGCCCTGGGCAAGATGTCCTGATAACCTTCTGATCTCTCACAGCCATTGCTCCTCACCTCTGTGAGTATTGCTTCAAATCAGAGTAAGCGTGAAGTGCTCGCAGGTTTTTGCTGTCTTATGTGGGCTTCAGAGGACACGGGTTCTCTGTTTCAGCTCTCTTTGGATACCCAGAGCACCGGGAAATGAGAAAGTACAATGTATACCTTTTGGGGTTCTTAGATCATAATCTCTGCAAGGACATTCTGTTGACAAAGCATGTTATGTTCGGTAGGGCGTCTTATGCGCTGCTGAGCTAGGCGGTACAATTGTCACCTCTGTGAACTAAAAATAAAATCCTAAGCCTCCCACTAACTGAACAGACTTCTCTTGGCCAAGGAAACCACAGAAAAAAGCCTTAAAACTGAGTTCCCAGCCATGGCTGGATGGGAAGTGTAAAGCATGATTACACATGTGTGTTTTCTCTTAATAAATATTCATAACTGCTATAACTTGTTAAATAAGTATATTTCACCACCTACTCAGTATAAAATCCTGTTCCCTTTTGTTACTCCCTCAAAACGTGTTCCTGGCTCATGGCCGGAGTGGTGTTTCCCAGCCTGTCAGAATAGCCACCGCAGGTAGAGACCCCTTTATGAGAAATAAAGCTCTCCTTTTTTAAAAAAAATATAAACCTCATGATTTTTAAAAGTAACACATCCTTGTTTCAGCCCTCTCTAGAAACAGAAAGGACTATTAAATTACAATTAATATTCTGGAAGCACAAATTTCAAATTGGTCATCTGGCTAACATATAGGGGGAAATGGTGGCAATAATAAGGCGATGTTTTCCTGAATTGCTGAAGAATGTTACTGTTAGAACTAATGTGCTTAGTTGCACTGTCATTTGAAATACGTGCTGGACCCATGGCTATGGTTGGGGGGTGTTATTTATGCTCAGCGCTGACTAGAAATCACCCAGAGCCTCTGAGCTCTTGGCAGGAGTGGGCTCGCACACAAAGGACCAGGGCTTTATTTCCAGGTTTTATTTCATTCACTCATTCTTCCTTTTTTTCAGACAGAGTCTTGCTCTGTCGCCCTGGGTAGAGTACAGTGGCATCATCATAGCCTACTGCAACCTCAAACTCCTGGGTTAAAGTGATCCTCCTGCCTCAGCCTCCTGAGTAGCTGGGACTACAGGTGTGCACGACGACACCCAGTTAATTTTTCTATTTTTAGTAGAGACGGGGTCTCGCTCTTGCCCAGGCTGGTCTTGAACTCCTGAGCTCAAGCAGTCCTCCCACCTCAGCCTCCCAAAGTGCTAGGATTACAGGCGTGAGCCACCATTCCCGCCTCATTCATTCTTTAAAACATATTTTTTTCACAGTTTGAAACATTATTTACAACATAACATTTACGCCGGCAAATCTATGATTTATTTTCTTTTTTGAAAAACAGACAAAAACCTCAGCCTCTGGCATCAAAAACTTTCCACAGGAATGTTTAGGATGAGGGGAGCTTTAAAAGTGCAAAGTAAATTTTCAAAGAAATGGAAAGCTGAGGGAATAACCTCTCATGAGATTTTCGGAGGGGCAATTTACTTTACATCTGAGTTTGCTACGGAGACCTCTCACTGGGTATTATTCTCTTCCATCTCTCCTTTTGTTATGAAGGTTACCAGCCCTGACTTCTGACAAGCCGAAGAGCAGAGTTCTGAAAAGCAGGGAGTGTGAAAGAGGACACACTTGCCCTAGCTGGTTTCCACTTACTGGTGGCCTTTCTGTGTGAAAGAGGAGAAAAAAAATCATCAGATTATCCCTGATTCCCGTTTTTTCTCAGGAATTTCTCACCCTGTTTCTTCACAGCACTGGAAACTGTCCTGGCATGGGGCCTGGCTCCAGTGTATGTGTTTACTGGCGTGTACAGGAGGTGGCCTGGGGGTGAGTATCTTCTATGCATCGGGTTCGAGAGCTACAAATCAGTTGTGTAGCCCAATTTCTCTCTTGTCTTTTGAAACAAGTGGTGCCTTGGGAGCCATTCTCTAGATCACCGACAGTTCCTGCCTAAAATTCCAAAAGATCCCTTCCTGTAGCTTTGGATTCACTGCTTAGGGAAAGGCCTCTAACTAACTTCTCCTGGCAACTCCTTACCTGTCACATGGGAAGTAGAAAAGGTATGGACACTGGGGACCTGACAGGAGGGAGAAGAGAAAGGAATGTTCTAGCACTTCTTCACCTTTGCATGGGGGAATTTGCAGCTCAGGACTGGGAACACATCATAATCGGGATGGTACCTTGGGTCTGTAGCTATGATTATCGGAGAGAAAACAGAATGGAAAATAAGTTCATGCCTGCTATTAGAGCTTGCCGAATGGAAGTTGGGAAGGAGAAACGTTCAGGCAAACATGGTGACCAACAACCTGAGAGAATAAGGGCCAAGGACAGCTGTAGTCCAGTCCCCAGTCTCACCTGGAGCCGCAGTACCCCAGGGCATTTTATCAATTTCCAGTACTCACACAGCACAGTGCCTTCCAGTGTAGCTCTCCGGTGCCTTGAAGAATTCCTAGGGATGCTTAAGTTGCTCAGAGAGCTCTGTGCACACTGTGCTTGTCTTGATCCCCTGACCGTGAGGTAGGTAAAGGCCAAGTGTTCCCCAGCCCAAGCAGCAGACAGCTAGGGCCTGACTCGGGACACGAAGTGCTAGTGACCGAAAGGGCCAGATCCAAAGCCTGAGATTACTGATTTTCCAGCTTTCATAGAGGTGGCATCATCCAGCTCGTCAGGAGGGCAGAGGCCCGTAGCAGAGACGAGCTGCGGTGTTCCTCACACTGGCCTACTTGGGAACACGGGAGGGAAAATCCAATTAACGTTGGAATGAGGCAGAAGAAAAGGATAATTTTCTCCCTATTCCTTGTACCCAAAGCTGGTCCCTCAGGAGTGCATTGAGCTCCTCTCCCTGAAGCTCCAAGCCATGGGGCCTCACTCTGAGCAACTCACTACAGCACAAAATAGCACCCCCACCCCTCAATGTCCTGTCTCTGCTGCTGAGGCAGCGGGTTGTCTAAAAGCCTCAGCTTTTCCCACAATAGCTCCCACGCCAGTGCTTGTGGGATATGAGATGGGGTTGGCAGGCGGAGCAGACAGGGGCACAAAGGCACAGTGAGCACGTTCCCATGCTGGCTGCACATCAGTCTGGAGATGCCCTGCCCTATGACTATGACGCAGGGACTCCGCTCCCGGGCCATCCCCCTGGCCAGAGCCAGCAGCCAGTACCTGCACTGTGCCATTGGTTATGGGTGAGCACCACCCTGAAGCTGCAGCCAAGTAAAGCTCCTGTTCAAAGCCTCAGTCACTCTTCTCCTTGAGCTCAGTGTGACTCCTAGAACCGACTTTGTCCCACCCGTAGTCTTCAACTCCATGCCGTCGATTTTGTTATGTCAGCTGTCCCTTCGGTGGCGGGCTGTTGTGGCAAGACCACAGGAGGCCAGCACAGGGCTCTGATAGCTGCACTTGCTCCTTTTGCTGGAGAATGGTATCCTCTTGAGGTAGGAATGCAGTTGGGCCCAGCCTTGGCTAACACTCAACGTCTTGCAGCTCAATCTCCTCAGTGGCGCTTTCTGCAAAGCAAAGGACAAGTCAGTGAGTGGAAAACCAGCCACACGGTGCTTTCTTAGTGAGAACAAGATAATGCATGCCACCCCCAGCCTCAAAACCATGCGTGGATTATCACAGGGCCCAGTGAGTTACCTTTGAGTTTGTGTCTTCTCTTCCTCTGGAATTTATACGCACACTTATTACAAACCCACAAGAAGCTGATTAATACTGCGGCCACGGCAGTGAGAAAAGCAAGAAAGACAGCGACAAGGTGCAGGTCTTCGTAGAGGATCTCTACGGGGTCGGGGTGAGGAGAAGGGGAAGACGGAGACAACGTCGCTTTTAATATCGTGCAGTCGGCCTCCCACACACTCGCAGTTCAGAGAGGTGCCCGCCCGGGGCTGTCTTACCAGAGACATGCAGCACGATGGTGCCAAACTGGCTGCTCCCCAGGCGCTCGGTCACGGTGATGACGTAGTAGCCAGAGTCCCTCACACCCACGCTGAAGAGCTGGAGGGAGCCGTTGTCGAAGGTGCAGACTCTGTCCTGGTGGCTTTGGGAAATGTTGGCCTGCGTCCCTGGCTTCCACTGCACGATCTTCTGCACGCCCCAGTTGGATGTATATGTCCATTCGATGGTGGGCACGCCGTGACAGGAGTATTCCACCGAAAACAGGATGTCTTGTTCCACAGTGGCATTGATGGTGGACTGGGGAATGTACAGCGACACCCCCTGACCTGCAGGATGACGGGCTAGATGTTGGGCCCACTCACACGAGTTTATACTGATGTGAACTTATACAATTCATTAATGTGTTTCACAAATATGTATTGAGTGCCTGTTGTCGGCCAGGCACTGTTCTAGGTTCTAATGCTGAAGCTACAGTGGTGAATAAGACACAGGGCTCCCTGGAGCTTATGTTCTATAAGGGAGACACACAGGGGATAAATAAGCAAACAAGATAATTTTAGATAATGACAAATGCTTAAAAGATAACAGAACAGGGTAACAGTGACTGGTGGGGGTTGCACACAACATTAGATAGGATGGCTAGGGAAGACTTCACAGAGGAAATGACATCTGAACTGAGACCCGAAGCACAAGGAGGAGGAGGAGAGGGAGACGGCAAGGGGAGGAGGGGGAGGAGGAGGCATCCGTGTGAAGACATAGGGGAACAGCATTTCAGGCAAAGGGAACCACAAATGCAAAACCTACGAGAATGAACAAGGGGGTGTCTGAGGGACAGAAAGGCGGCCAGTGTGCTGGAATGCAATGAGCAATGCGGAGGGTTTAACAGATGAGGCTGGAGAGCTGGCTGGGAGCCGAGTCATGATGTCAGGCTGTCAAGGGGGGTGGGAAGCCATAGGAGGGCTCAGGCAGGAGGGTGATGTTCCCCATTAAGCTGAGAACATCTGCCATGGGGAACGTGCTGCGGGTAAGGGGATGCTATAGGTTGAATGTGTCCCCCAAAGTTTATGTGCTGGAAACTTAATCCCCAATGCAACAATTCTGAAGTGGGACCTTTAAGAGGTGATTAGGATAATGCCGTTATTGTAGGAGTGGGTTCTTGATTAAAGGATGAGTTAGGCCCCCTTCCCGCTCTTGAACCCGTGTGCTTTTGCCCTTCTGCCATGGGATGATGCAGCAAGAAGGCCCTCACCAGATAAGGCCCCTCGATCTTGGATTTCAACCTCTGCTTGACCTCTTCCTTACAGTTATAGAGAGGTCTCTACTCACAGGACAACATTTTCCCATTGGGAGAAGCTCTATTTAGAAAGCTCCCTTTTATTTCAACCTGAACTCTGCCCCCTTTGTAGCAATGCAAACTACAGAAGTTCTCTGTATGTGGGAGCCCTTCAGATACCCAAGGACTGTTCTCATGACTCCCTGGATCACTCCTTCTCATTCAAGCCCTCAATGCATGACACAGTTATTCTTTAACACAGAACAAAGGGCAGAGTTTAAAGTTACTGGATTAAAGGAGAACACAGAGGACAAATTCCAGGCCGGCCCTAGGAGGGCAGGAATTATGTGTTTTCTTCACCCTTGGGTCCCCTGGACAACGCCTGGCATATAGTGGTTGGTCAATAAATGTTTGCTGAGTAAATGAATAAGTGAATGACCAAATATTTATAGCAACAGGAAGCGTGAGCCATTTCTTGATAGGAAGGTTGCTGCTTTAGTGGTTTGAAAAATTAAGTACATCTAAAAGCTGACATACATATAGGGAAGAGAACTATAATTAATTAAGGCTTATGTGCCAGTTACTATATTAAGTACTTCACAGTCACTATCTCTTTTTCTTTTTACATGATGGTAATATGCCCACATAGCTAGTAAATAAAGGCAGTCTGATTCCAAACCCTGTATCTCTACTTTGTGACTATCTACCTATCATCTATTTGTCTGTTTCCCGATTTCTTTTTTTTCACAGTATTTGTTAATTGTTTATTTATCAAGAGAAACTATTCCTCAGCCCCCATATTCATAGCTCAGGAACACAGGTCAGTGACAAACTTCTATGTAAATCAACCCAAAAAAATTATTTTATATTCCAAAATCACTTTGCACTCTGAAAGATGCCAGCCTTCCTCATCTCCTCAAAATCCTTCACAGAATCTAATTTCCATAGAAATCTGCATATGCCTTCTTTCTTGGTTCAGCCACAGCAAACATATACAAAGCTGCAACCCCCAAGGATACAATCAATGCTCTGACAATAGGAAACCACAGATGCCTGGCCAGGAGGCCACGCATCTGAGGTTTTGTCAAAGTGCTGGAACCCACGATAGTTACTATCCTTGATGGGTATGCCAACCTCAACAAGTCCTTACTGGGTGATGGAGAAATCTGTTTCCTGATTTCTCTGACTCAAATATGAGCAGTTGGATTAGTGATTACTGTAAGATTTAGAGAACTACATTTAGAACTATTGACAAATCTGTATCATAACCACTGTGCATGTCATGCACCTTTAGTTAACTGTGTTGGTCAGGGTTGTTGACAGATTCCAGCCCCTTTTGTAGCCTTACTTCATTTTGAGCCTTTCAGTTACTTTGGCCCAAGAAACAGCAAAACTGAAAAACAAAAATAACAACCCCTTTCTCAGATGCTGATGAAGCTGGAAACTGGCTAACTGGTTCTTGCCGGTTTCTGTGTTTTCTCTTGATCAGAAAAACCTCTTTTTTTGAAAAAAACTTAAAATATTTAATTGACAAAGATTGTATATAGTCAAGGTATACAACATGATGATTTGATATATCTACACGTTGTGTAATGATTACCACAATGAAATTAATTAACACATCCGTCACCACCCATGCTGAACATTAGATCGACAGAATTTCTTCATCTTATAACTCAAAGTTTGGATCCTTTGGCCAAACACCTCCCTCTTTCTCCCAACTCCCACCTCTTGGCAACCACCATTCTACTCTGTTCCTATGGATTCGATTTCTTTAGGTTCCACATACAAGTGAAATCATGCAGTATCTGTCTTCCTGTGTCTGGCTTATTTCATTTAGCATAATGTCCTCCAGGTTCACCCATATTGTCACAAATGGAAAGATTTCCTTCTTTTTATAGCTGAATGATATCCATAACATATACATATATTTAATCCATTCATCTATCAATGGACATTTAGGTAGTTTCCATGTCTTTGCTATTGTGAATATGCTGCAATGAACCTCAGGGTGCAGATATCTCTTTGATATACTCATTTCAATTCCTTTGGATACATACCCAGTAGGATTGCTCAATTGTATGGTAGTTCTATTTTTAATTTTTTGAAGAATCTCCATATTATTTTTCATAATAGCTGTATCTATTTAAATTCCCACCAACAGGGTGCAAGGGTTTCCTTTTTTCCACATCCTTGCCAACATTTTTTTTTTATTTGAGACAGAGTCTTGCTCTGTTGCGCAGGCTAGAGTGCCCTGGCATCAGCCTAGCTCACAGCAACCTCAAACTCCTGGGGTCAAGCAATCCTTCTGCCTCAGCCTTCTGAGTAGCTGGGACTACAGGCATGCGCCACCATGCCCAGCTAATTTTTTCTATATATTTTTAGTTGTCCAGCTAATTTCTTTCTATATTTAGTAGAGATGGGGTCTCACTCTTGCTCAGGCTGGTCTTGAATTCCTGACCTTGAGTGATCCTCCCGCCTTGGCCTCCCAGAGTGCTAGGATTACAGGTGAGAGCCATCACATTCGGCCTATTTCATTCTTTTTTACAGCTGAGTAGTATTCCGTGGTGTGTGTGTGTATATACATATATATACACACACACACACCACATTTTCTTTATCTACTCATCAGATGATGGGCACTTAAATTGATTCCATATCTTTGCAATTGTGAATTGTGTTGGGATAAACATATGAGTGCAGGTGTCTTTTTGATATGACTTCTTTTCCTTTGAGTAGATGCCCAGTAACGGGATTGCTGGATCGAATGATAGGTCTTTTTTATAACTGATTTTTGTATGTTGATTTTGTATCCTGCAACTTTACTGAATTTATTAATTTTAACACTTTTTGGTAGAGTTGTTAGGGTTTTCTATATATAAGATCATGTTACCTGAAAACAAAGACAATTGTACTTCTTTCTTTCTGATTTTGATGTCTCTTATTTTTCTCGCCTAATTACTCTAAAACTTCCAGTACTGTGTTGAATAGAAGTAGTGAGAGGGGCACCTTTCTCTTGTTCCCTATCTTAGAGGAAAAGCTTTCAGGTGTTCAGCATTGAGTGCGATGATGTTAGATGTGGGCTTGTCATACATAGCCTTTATTATGTTCTGATGCATTACTTCTATACCTAATTTGTCGAGTGCTTTTACCATGAAAGGATGTTGAATTTTGTCAAACGCTTTTTCTGCATCTATTGATATGGTTACATGATTTTTCCCTTCATTCTGTAAATGTGTGTACCACATTTATTACTTTGCATATGTTAAACTGTCCTTGCATCCTAGGGATAAATCCCACTTGATTATGGAACATGATCCTTTTAAAGTGCTACTGAGTTCAATCTGCTAGTATTTTGATGAGGACTTTTGCATCTACATCAGGGATATTGGCCTGTAATTTTCTTTTCTTGTAGTGTTCTCTTCTGGCCTTGGTATCTGGGTAATGCTGGCCTTATAAAATGCCTTTGGAAGTGATCCCTCCTCTTTGATTTCCAGGAAGAATTTGGTAGGATTGGCATTAATTCTTTAAATGTTTGGTAGATTCATCAGTGAGACCATTTGGTCATTGGCTTTTCTTTGTTGGAAGGCTTTTGATTATCGATGAAATCTCCTTTCTCATTATTGGTCTGTTAAGATTTTCTATTTCTTCATGATTCAGTCTTGGCAGGCTGTATGATTCTAGGAATTTATCCATTTCTTCTAGATTTTCCAATATGATGGCATATAATTGTTCACAGTAGTAATATGGTTTGGATGTTTGGCCCCTCCAAATCTCATGTTGAAATCTGATCCCCAGTGTTGGACATGGGGCCTGAGGGGAGGTGTTTTGGTTGTGGGGGTAGATGCCTCAGAAATGGCTTGGTGACCTCCCCACGATGATGAGTGAGTTCTCACTGTATTAGTTCACATGAGAGCTGATTGTTTAAAGGAGCCTGGCACCACCTCCTCTCTCTCTTGCTCCTTCTCTTTCCATGTGACACGTCTGCTCCCCCTTCACCTTCTGCTTCCGATTAAAGACTCCCTCAAACCCTCACCAGAAGCAGACGCTGGC